TTCCGGCCGGCCCCTCCCCCTCCCCCGCGTAGCCACCTCCCTCTCTCCCTTCTCCTCCCCGGCCTCTCCCTCAACTATCTCCACCCCTCGTGCTCTCCGCCTGCTCGCCTCCAGACCTTCCCCGCCCGCTCCATCCGGGTCGCTCACGGCCGTCTCCGGACCTGACAGAGGTGGCGGCTGCTTTTCTCTGATAAAGTTTAACAGGGGCCAGGGAGCGGAGCAGCAGATCGGTGGATCAGCGGCCCGGACGCCGAAAGAGCCCTGGTGATCGCTGCCCCCGGCGCTTTGGAGGGAAGGTCCCGGGAGCCGGAGACCTGCCTCAGCAGCCGCGCCGTCTAGCCGTCCGTCCGGGGAGGGTCCTCCCTCCGTCGCCTTGGGCTTTCCCTGCCCTGAGGGGCCGGGTGAGTCGCTGGCCCGGTGGGTGCCGGGGTGAGCTGCGGCGTCGGGGCTGGGGCAGGCCGGGCTGGTGGGATTCAGGCCGGCGCGGAAAAGGGCGCTTTCTCAGCGCTTCTCCGGGCAAGGGGCGGGGGCCTCGGGCAGGGTGTGCGCTCCCCGACCCTGGGCCGGAACGCCTCTCCTCGCCGAGCCGGGGCCTCCCCGGGGCTGGGGCCCCGGGTGCAGAGCGCAGTCCGCTTGCCGCCCGCCTCTGCGTCTGCAGGGAGCGGGCGGCCGCCGGAGTCGGCCCGCGAGGCTGGGTGTGTGCGGACCGACTGCCTTCCTCGGCTGCGTGAGCTGATCTGGGTGCTTGCTCTGGGAAAGATGTGACGAACTGTTTCTCATGCTCCTACCTGTTGCTGGCGAGAGGATGCCTTCGAGACTGACTTTCAAAAGGATGGTTAACCCTAGCGCACTGAAATCCGGACAGTTTCTTGTCCGCCCCTTCTCGAAGGGAAAGAAAAAAAAAAAAAAAACAGAGATAATGCAGAACTCTCGAGAACTGTCGAGTTCTGGTGTCCCAAAAGAATGAAATCTCACTTCTGTTAATGGATGGGCTGTGGAATGGCACATCGGCACTTGCTAGCCGGAATGTAGCAAAATTGGATTTTGCAACTTCTGGAGTAAGGAATGTGGGTGACTACAACGGGAATAAGGCTGACTTCAGTAGAAAAGGTGTTAGTTAATAGTGCAGTGTGTTTGAAACTTGTGGAGTTTAAACGAAGTGAATTCTGATTGTTATTTGTATCTTTACAAGCGAAGAAATATTCAGTGTACTGGAAAGTTCTACAGATTTCGCCACCAAACTATCAAATGACCCAGCCCCCATTCCTGTGCCTAAAAAATCAGCAGTCCTGGCAGGGTTATTTGTAAATATTTTTTCCATCTTCATATAATTGTTTCACAGGTATGAATAGACGTAATCTGCCCACGGGAAGTTTTTTTCAGCCCGATTATCATTCGTAATAGAAAAGATGTTGAATTTTGGGGGGAGAATAATAATATTTAACCTGAATATTTTTCCGTATTATGAAAATGAACACTGACTTAGTTTTTAAATTAATAGTGAGGTCAGGATGTTACTATTTTGACGTAAAACACGAATTTTTGGAGGTGATTGTTTTATATGACCTGTTAGTATGAATACCTGGGACATTTGTATTGTAGTAAATTTAAATTTTTTTTCTATTGGTTTCACTTCTGTTACAGATAAGACCTTCAGTTTCTGTTGATGTGGAGGTAGGTATCAGGCTTTTTAATTATGCTATGATTTGAGGGCAACTGCAGGGTTGCATTTCTGTAGTTGGCTGGATACTTAATTTTTGGTCATTAGAAATAAGGATGCCTTATTTCCTACTCCGATTGAAATTATTTAAACCAAACAAAAACTGGTTGATTTCTTTAACGTACTTATTTCCATTAGCTTAATCTATCACAAATAACCAAAAGTCAAAGGAAGTTAATGTTTTGAATTTTGCAAAGAATTATAGAAAATGGTGTATTTACCCTAAGCGTTCCTATATGTTCATTTAAAAAAATACAACTGATTGGCTTTTGAAAGAAAGTAGATAGTACTCATGTATCGTATCATAAGATACATTTAATGTTTGCTATATAGTAATTGTAGCCTAGCATTTAATGAAAGAAGAGCTGTAAATGTTTCTTTCTGAAGTCACACTTTTTTTTTGTCTCCTCAGACATAGGTTACTTCCAACTTTCCAGAGTTTGAGAAGGAAATTTAGTATTGAAACTGGAAGACCAAAATAACCACAGGCATGTTGTGCTGGGGAAATGCATCCTTTGGACAACTAGGTTTGGGTGGAATTGATGAAGAAATTGTACTAGAGCCCAGAAAAAGTGACTTTTTTATAAATAAAAAGGTGCGAGATGTAGGGTGTGGACTCAGACATACTGTGTTTGTTCTGGATGATGGAACTGTGTACACCTGTGGATGTAATGATCTAGGACAGCTGGGTCATGAAAAATCCAGAAAGAAACCAGGTAAGTTGAAAATTTTTTATTTGCTCTTTCTAATAATTATATTATTTAAGTTTGAAGTGTCATATATAATTTCTATAATCTTAAATCTACATTCTTTGTCAAGCTTAAAAGCAAAGTAAATACATCCTTACTTGCATGCTTAGTACTTTTTCTTATTACTCTGATAAGCTCTATATGGCATTCATTGTAGCGCAGTAGAGAAAACTAGCCTATAGTATACTTGCTGCCATTGGCAACAAATGTGTAACGTTGTGTAAGGAGATCATCCTTAATAATTTCAGCCAGCTTGGATAAATTTTAAATTCATAATTTACTGTGATGTTTCCATACATGTGAGCAGGGTGAACCTACTTGCCAATAGTATATCTTTAATTTTTCTACTTATTCCCCTATCATATTTTAAATGTATAATTTTATTTTGTTTAGTTGTATATGTTTTATTTCTCTAATTTTCCACTTTCAAATATAGTGCTAACTACTAAAAGTTTCGTAAAATGAAGTGTCCTGATTTTGAATTAGATGTGTACAAGCAAAATTTAAAATACTTTGTAAGACAGTAATTTTGAGGAATTTGGTTATATTTCATATAATGTTCCTGAATATTTATTTTAAAACTAAAGATTGCAACATTTAGGAATATTGATACTTGTTTTGCTTTCAATTGTAATTACTGAAAGTTCCTGTCTTCCGGTGGTACATTCAGATAAGATTGTAGTATACAGACTTACTTTCTTCTTTAAACTTCAACAAGAACGGTACTTTTTGTTTTGTTTTGCTTTGCTTTTTTGAGACAGAATCATTATGGTATTTAGGCTGACTTGGAACTCACTGTGTAGACCAGGCTGGCCTCAAACTTGGGACAATTCTCCTGCCACAGCCTCCTAAGTGCTAGGGTTACAGGTGCACACTACTGTGCCGGCTAAGAAAGGCACTTTAAAAAGTATTTTCTATGGCAGTTATTTTTATATATCATTTCATTATTTAAGTGGATTTCATTGTTGGTGTACTTTTGAGAGATTAATGAAGACAGAAAATACTAAGACACTAAATTAAGATGCATCCCATCTCTCATGTCTTGTCACTACTGTTCAGACCTCACTTTTCTAAAGTAGAGTTTTCAACCTTTCTTTGTGGTTAGGGTCTTAATCCCTTCTGCTTTAACTTGTAATTTAGTTTTAGAGGACAAATAATAGTGAGGCTTAATATAGAAATTTTAATTGTAGAACTATTAAGTGGTAGTTTTTGTATCCTGTACATCAATAAGCATATTTTATGGAACCTCGCAATATTTTCATAATCTTAGGCATTGAGGTGGTCATGCTGATTCAAATGAATGATGATTTACTGTAATGTATTTGATTACATTCACTTTGTGCAAAAGGGTCATTTACCTTTTTTAGCTTTGAAATGCTACTTCATTTGAAATTTTTGTAATATTGGGGCTTCTGCTTTTTTTTTTTTTACATAGCGTGCGTGCCATGTAGAAATAATGGAACTTGTCTAGATTGCTTTAAATTTTGAAAGAATGGAGGACAAGTAGAAAATTCAAAGCCAGCACATAGGAATTGCCAATATAGTTATTGTAATTTATTAAGGTTTAGAAATTTTAAATGTTATTCCACACTTGTTCTGTGTTTAAGACAAGGGTAGACATTGTGTACTGATAGTGTAATGACCATGGTGCCTGCAAACAGTGTCTGGCTCCATACGGGAACTTCTAAGAAACTTACGATAATTACATTGTGACATATATATGGTTCTATGAATTTGTGGTTGGAAGCATGTGGTAATACTGAGTTGGGAGGGCAGATTTCTTTGTAACTCCAGGGTTGCCTCACTGTTGTCCAGGGTGTATATACTGGGACATACATGTAAAACATATATATTTTTTGAATGAAATAGACAAAAAAAAAAAGAGCTTTGTCTGAGAAATTTGGAGTCTGGGTTGGGAGTTCAGACATATATAAATTAAAACTGGAAAGAATTGAAATTTGACATGATGTGCTATGTACTTTGAGCCTAGGAAATTTAAATGATGAGAAAAGACATTGTGGAAAAGAGGTAAGATTTCAGGGAGAAAACGAAGGTTGAAGTTTGGTTTTTGTCAGTAATCACATAAAAGCCAGAAGATAGATCTAGAACTGGAATTGCTTGCTTTTTATAGAGGAGGGGGAGGGGAACAAGATCCTTGGGAAAGCCTTTTATTGTAACTCTTGACTCAGTAAGGAAGTGTGCCTATGCTACAGAGGTAGGAAAAAGTAGGTCAGGGCGGGGTGATTGCTATGGTAAGGACTTCATCTTTTGTGCTCACTCTTGATTTAACATTTAATAGTTTTAACTAAAATTATTTCTATTTGGAATAATTCCTTAATGTGGTCTTTACCTAACCCTTTTTAAAATTTGTGAGTTTGAGGACTGGATTAGAAGATGAGGAGTTGTTGGATCTTTCTTGCTTTCTTTTTTTCTTTTTGAGACAGGGTATCACTATGCAATTCATTGTGGCCTTGAACTCACTTTGTAGCCCAGGCTGGCCTTGATCTCATAGCAATCCTCCTGCCTCAGCCTCCCAAGTGCTGGGATTACAGATGTGCGCTGACATGCCTGGCCGAGTTGTTGGATCTTATGTCATTGTCTTTTTTCTTTGGAGATTGAACCCAGGCTCATAAATAGTAGGCAAGTATTGCTTCCCCCTACTGTTCTTTTTTTAAAAAAATAGTCTGAGATAAGGTCTCCTTAAGTTCCCCAGGCTGGTCTTGAACGTGGGACTCTCTCCTGCTTCAGCTTCCTAAGTGGCTGGGTTATAGTGTGCTACCAGACCCAACTATTTAATTGGTTTTAAGTCTCTGGAACATGCCAGTTGTATTTCTCAGACCATGTAATAAACAGTTCATTTCAACAGAGTTTTAGGATTGTACCAGAAAGAAAGCAAAAGGAAAGGAGATAAAAATAATTTCTTTGCATAAGTTGACTTTGTCAACATAACAAATATTCTGTGGTAAGAAATGAAAGAATTAGCTACATTAAGGATAAGTTTTTGAGTCAGAATAATTTAGTATAGGATTTAGCTTTGCAGTGTAGCAAAATAGATTTGGCTTATGGTCTCTTGAAGACTGTTTCCACTTTGGACATTTTTGGAAACATAGAAAGTTTAACTAATGTCTTTTGTTACCTACACTTTGTAGCCCAGGCTGGCCTCGATCTCGTAGCAATCTTCCTGCCTCAGCCTCCCAAGTGTGGGATTACAGGTGTGTACCACCATGCCTGGCTGAGTTGTTGGATCTTATGTCATTGTCTTTTTCCTTTGGTGGTAGTATTGAAAATTGAACCCAGTCTGCATCCATCTGCGTTGTTTTGAATGTGTATGTTCTTTTAATGTCACTACTAGTTCTTGCTGTAGGAGTGAATGTGTGTTTCACTTTCATGTTTTTCATGTATAAGAAGTTAAAAAATCTTTTTTAGTTAGCATTTCAATTTCTTAATTAATAGCTACAAGTAAATACATTTATTTTCAGTAAGCTATTGCAATCCATTTAAATAGGGTCCTCCCCACCTTTGGTACTGGGTATTGAATGCAGGACCTCACATATGTTAGGCAAGTAGTAGCCACTGAGCTATATGCCCTACTGTCTTTATTTTGAGATAAAGCCATATTAAGTTGCTAAGTTGTTCAGGCTAGGCTAGACCTTGCGATCCTGCTTCAGCATCCCACAGTGCTAGACTAACATGCTAAGTAAGTGGTCTAGGCTGGCCTCAATCTTGTGATCCTCCTGCCTCAGCCTCCCTGGATGCTGGTATAATAGGCATTTGCCACAATGCCTGGCTAGAATGTTTTTCTTGTTTCTTTACTTAGTATATATCCAGCCATACATATAATTTGATAGTATTTGGTAACTGTTTTCCAAAGTTTATGTTTTATGTATCTGTTTTCATTTGTTTCATGTTAGAAATGGTACTGTACTTATCACTGCAGTATTTAAATAATCTGGTATAATTCTATTAAAAAGAACCACTTGAATAGCTTTTTGTGGTTTCAAAGTTCTTGCAAATAGATCATCTCATTTAATCCTCACAACAGTCTTGTATACTAGCTAGGACAGTTTTTATCTTCCCCATTTTAGATGAGAAAACTGAAATTAAGAAATTGAGACTAAACAGGGTCACTAGGTTAGCAGGCATTCAGAGACCACAAAGCTTTTTCTCCTGTCATTTTGAGAATATAGAATAGTATTTGTTCACTAAGGAGAAAATCGGTTGCCATCGGTATTTTAATGTAATTCTGAGGATTCAGAAAATCCTTTTAAAAATCAGTATTTTGTAACTAAGATGTAGAATTAAGATACTGTGTTTTATTATCCTTGTCCTACTCCCTTGTTCATAAACTTTAAGAAAAGTCATTTTCAGATTCACATAAGACTTTGAGTTCTGTTTTCAAGATGTAATGTTGATGCTTAGCATGGTGGCACATGCCTATAATCCCAGCTATGTGAAGGCTAATGCAAGAGGGTCTCGAAGTTCAAGACCATCCTGGGCAATGTAGTGAAACCTCATCTTTAAAAAAAAAACAAAAAATAAACCTTAAGATAAATACAATTAAAAACAAATGTATTTACCACAAATTAAAAATTCAGATATGTAGATTATATTCTTGAATGGAAGACTAACTTGATTCACAAAGCTCACAATAGGTAAAGTTTCAATAGTGTGTTGAAATTTGTCATAGTTTATATTCATATTTATGGTCACATAGCAATAGTTACTTGTTTGCCTTTTTCATTTTCTGACCTGTTGTCTCTGATCACAAAACTTAAATCTATAATTGAACTGCTCCTTAAAACATAGTTGAAATTTAAAGAGTAGTGTAGGAAAATAAAACATAAATGTGGGAAATAAAATTATTCACTAAAGAATAGATTAAAAATATCAAGTTATTCCACAAAATTCTTATTCATTCAAAGACTGTAACACTAAAGAAGCTATGTTTTTAACTCTTAATTTTCATAATACCTAGATATGGATAATAAGATTTGAAAAAATAATTACTTGAGTCAGGACAGTGGGCCTACACTGGGCACTTTACCTTGAGAAAAATCAGTGCCCAAAAATCAGGTGTTGAGTGTAGAAAAAGAATCATGCTGCTGTTAGAGAGATGTATAATAATACTTTACTTTGTGTAGGACCCTACATCTGAGGAATTGCAAGAGCATTACACAGTAATTCATGGTTCCTTTCAAAATGCTTGTGACACAATTTGCAAGAATTATCCTCATCTTAGGGGATAAATTTATGGAGAAATGGCAGCACAAGTTGGTAAGTAACTTGTCAAAACAGCAGGAAACTGGTGAATCTGAAAGTTTAATAAATGTACAAGTCTCCTGCCTTATTCACTAAATTGTACTCATGTTTAGAATTACTTGCAGTAATACCTTCTGAGGTAGAGCAAATATTAATGCACAGATTTTTTTTCCTTGCCATTTTATTTGATGGCTTATTGGAAACAATATTTCACTGAGATGACCGCATTCTGGTACCCTGGATACTTCATTCTAACCCTGTGTTGTATGAAGAATATTACTAGTGCTGTGACTCAAACCCAGGGTCTTGTGTACACTAAGCAGGCACTACCACTGAGCTATAACCCTCAGTCTTAAGAATAGACAATCAGAAACTTACTATGGAAACATTCAGCCTTTTGTCATTTCTCTTACATACCATACTATATCCCTGTATTATTTTAACTATTAATTCTGTTCAACCCATGGTCCATAATAATAATCCTGTGCATGGTTGTTTTGATGACTAACTTGAATTTGGATTATGTTGTATCAAGGCTATTGTGTAGATATATTCGTCTCTGGATTGCATGGATTTGGTGATTTTATAAAACTTGTAATCCACAGACTAATAGCAGCTGCAGATGCCTTGTTGGAGCAGTTTAAGAAAGGGTAACTTCTTTGAAGGGTTCTTCTGTATTCGGTGTATTAGTCAGTTCCTGTTGCCGGGACAAAATACTAGAAACGCACAACTTGAAAGGGAGGTTTATTTGGCTCACAATTTCCAGTGGGTTCAGTTCAGTTGCTGGGACAAAATACTAGAAACACACAACTTGAAAAGGGAGGTTTATTTGGCTCACAATTTCCAGTGGGTTCAGTTCAAAGTTAATTGGCTCCAAGGAAGGGAATGGTAGAAGACAGCTGCTCATTCCATAGCATTCAGGAAGCAGAGAGAGAAAGGAGGGTCAGGGATTAGAATATACTTTTCCAGATCATGTCCTACTGACCACCTCCAACTAGATCCCGCTTTCTGACAGCACATTTAATGATGAACTGATCAATGGATGAATCCACTGCTCAATATAGCACCCCTGCGACCCAGTCACCCTCCACGTACAAGACTTGGGACATATTATAGATCTAAATCATAACAGTATGTTAGTGTTTTTACATGGTTGGAAGTGTGTCATATTCTTTCCTTCAAAACAAAACAAACACCAGGAACATGAGGGATTTCATTTTCAAAATCTGGTTGGCTACTAAGGTTTCTTGTTGCAAATGACAGCCAGCGATGGTGAACCTTTTAGAGCTTTCAGTCCTAACAGCCCCTTGTGGCACATGCACCGTAGATTCACCACCACCAGCCTAGGTAGTCCAATTTCCATTACCAGCTTAGGAGCTTCTTAAAGATTGTTAGTGTCCTATATCTCCACTACGTTACATAAATGTAGCACTGTTGTTAAAGTTCATTCTCACACATCTCATGTGTTTTTAAAATCTCTTTGAGGATATAAAAGTTGATTTCTAAACTATAAAGTACAGTTAGGGGGCTGGGGATGTAGGTAAGTGGTAGAGCACTTGCTTAGTATGCAAGGTCCTAGGTTCAGTTCCCAGTACCACCACCACCAAAAAAAAAATCATTAAAGCACAATAGGTACTTGGTATACATACTTATCAAAGCAATTTCATAGAGGAGATGAACTGAAACATTATTTTAAGGGTTTATTTGGGCTAGAATTATTTTAGTGCATAGAAAAATGAGTCGTGGTTATGAAGAAACTCTGTTAATCAGTCCATGGTTTATCTTTGCTTCTCTGAACTTGTTTTACCATGATGGAATTAAAAAAGCATAATTAATCTTAATGATTTGTGATAGTTATTTTACACGCTCCCCTAAAAGCCCCCCTGAAAACAAAACCCACAAACTTTGTTGTGTGTAATAAATACACAAATTTTTTTTAGTGTTACTTTTGGTTAAAGAGAAACTTCTTGAATTTTAAATTCTCTGAATCTTAGTATTTTGTTTTTTCTTCATTTGCATTTCTAACATGGCAGAATTTTAGTTTAGCGTTTCATGGCCATGAAAAAAAAATTCTAAAATCATTTTAATTAATTAACTAATTAGTTATTTATTTGGTACCGGGGATTGAACTTAAACCTCATGCCTGCCAAGCAGGCTTTTATGCTGATATGCTATAAATCCCTGGCCATAGAATCCTTTAATAATGTGTTTTTCACAAATTATTGAAAATTAATCCTGATACTATTTGAAACTATCCTAATTGTTTTTTGGTAAAGTAAAAATGCTTGATTTCACTAAAAGTAACAATTACAGTTTTGTGATATTGGAGATTGAAATTAAGGTCTAGTGCTTGCTAGGCAAAGTGTTGGTATCACTGGGCTTCATCTCCAGCCCACTTGCTTTATTAGTATCCAGGTTTATAGTCTTTTTTCCTTGCAGCATCATACAATTCTGAAATGCAGTTTTGTTTTTCACAATTTTTTTTTTCTAGCTATGCAAGCATTAAGGTTTTTGGTGGGAAACTTTGAAGATGGGCACAATGAGAGCTCAGCTAGAGTATCAGCACTTTGGGAAGCAGTGGATGGAGGATTATAAATTCAAGTCCTGCCTGGCAATTTAGTGAGATCCAGATTCAAAAAGGGCTGGGGGTATACCTCAATACAAAGGCCCTCAATTTAGCCCCCCTGTACAGTAATGGGGTGGGGGGGGGGAAATACTGACTGTGTTGGCCCATGCCTGTAATCTCAGGACTTGGGAGACTGAGGCAGGAAGAGTGCTGTTGAGTTCCAGACCTGCCTGGGCTACATAGTGAAACCCTATGTAAAAAAAAAAAAAAAATCTATCTGTGTGTGTGTGTGTGTGTGTGTGTGTGTGTGTGAAAGTAAATATAAACTAGAATGTCATTATACACAGATAAGTGCTACAACTTTTAGGGACCTTTTCTGTACTTTTTTTTTTTTTTTTTGATACCCAGGATCCAACTTACGACTTTGTGCTTGCCAGGCAGGTGCTTACACCACTGAGCTAAATCCGCAGCCTTGTACTTAGCTTTCTGATTACATACTGGACACAGTTCCTGTATCTCTTCTCTTTTTTGAATACTAATTGAATAATTAGTATTTTCTCATGTTTTAAATGAGAGTATTAAAGGATGCTGTGAAGAATTTAACGTTTTATCTTTTAGATGTCCCAAAATTTATTTAAATATTAAAGGATGCTGTGAAGAATTTAATGTTTTATCTTTTAGATGTACCAAAATTTATTTAAATATTATATATTTTGTAATTTATTTCCAGATTAATGCTACCAAATATATCAATTTAGTTTTTATTCTGCATTTCAATTTGTTTCTTTAGGAAAAAGAATATGTTTAATTCCAGCAGATCTCAAAGGTATGATAACTGAATTTATTTTAAAATGCTAAGCACAGCTGTCATTTTACAAAGCTGATATGCTCAAAAGAAGATAATTTATAAAGGAAAGTTTTAATGATTTATTTGGCAGGGTTTTGAATACCCTGATGAATATCATGTAAAGATCTGTTAGGGAAAATAAAACAAGGGCACATGATAGAAATGTGTATAAGGTTTGCTAAATATTAAGAATGCACAGACATGAGTGCTATTAGCCCGTTAAGGGTTAACTGAAATGTTAATTGAAATGTTTGAGAATAGTGAGCAGGAAAGTTGGAAAGGTCAGATTGTAGAAACTCACTGATAGTTTATAATGTGAATTATGGGTTGTATAAAGGAAAGATTATGGAGGAGAAGGTTTACAGGTAAAAAAATTAGGCTGTGATTGTAGTTCTTTCAATCAAGGAGTGATTAGGGAGATAGCGTGACTAGACTTTGATAACTACTGGTAGATGGAAGTGAGTCAAAGTGTAGACTCAGGTGTGATCCTAGGTGTAATCATTAATTAATAGAGAAGGGAAATCTAGGAAAAGAAGGAATGTTAACTCTGCTGTGTTCTAGGAGGAGAGAAGATTCTGGTGAGGTGAATTCTGGTGTGAATTCGTTAGCAATGTTCAGTCAGTTGTAAAGAATTTACTACTGTTAAGTGGAGAGAAAATCAGGGTTAAAATGCATGAAATGTTTTTAGTTTTGTTTTACTGTCAGTGGGCTAACAGTCCAACTATGAATTTCTTCCTGGTTCTAACTTTGAAGTGGCTGATAATCCATTAACAATATTTAATTTTGTGCTTTTGGAAAACTTTAAAATACCTGGTGATTTGTAAATTTAAGGTACCATGAATGGTTGTTTCTTCATCTGTTTTGTAAACATGAATGTTTATATATAGATAAAATGTTCACTGAGTACCATCTGATAGCCTGATCATTTGAATTTTATTAATAGGTTTACTTATTCTTGTTTAACTGACATAGTACTATTACATATTATGTTTGACTTTGTCTTTCTTCCAGATACTACTGCAAATCTTTATTTTCGGCCCTAAACAAAGCTTTTAAAGTTACAAGAGATGTCAACATAGATATAGGTTGCTTTTGATAGCTGAAGTAATTGTAACTATAAAAGGGTATGTACTGGCAGTATAGGTAAGATCTTTGAAAGTGTGTTCTCTTAAGATAGTACTGCTGTTTTTGTGGGGTATTGGAAGAGGTGGGAGCATTAGAGGAAGGCTAAAAGAGGTCCTAAGGAGCAGAATTAGCATCTGAAAACATCTGGAGGAAGGTTTAGTTACTTTACCGATTATTAAAAGTTTGATTTTTTTTTCTGGGTAGTATTGTGAGAGTAAAATAGAGCTCAGGTTGTTTTCCACCATAAATTGCAAGTATTTATCAATTAATCCGAGGGTTTTTCAGCTATAGATTTCATGAATAGACTTTAACAGAAATGAACCTCTTATTTTCTGAAGAGTAATTAAGCAAAAAGCTGACAGGTTGATATTATCTTTGTCTGAATATATTTATACATTTGAGGGGGAATGTGTCTCTTCAATTGAGAATAAGGAAGAAAGTATATATACAAGTCACTTTGGCAGTGTAATAAACCAT